AGAGAGAGAGAGAGAGAGAGAGAGAGAGAGAGAGAGAGAGAGAGAGATAGACTTGTGGCCCACTTGCCGTGACTTGACTCGAGTCGACTCGCTGCACTCGACTCGTCTGTAGAAACCAGCGGAGTGACGTCACGCATAATTAGTTCTTTGATTCTCTCTCTTTTTCTTCTCCTCCTCGTCTCGCGTTCACTCTATTCACGATATCTCTCTTCTATTCCAACGAGTTTGTCGTTCATACTCATTGTCGGCGATGTAATTGAATCAGTCTCAAAAATTAGCAGTTTTAGGCTGTGATAGCGCCGGTTGCATAATCGGTGTCGTCCCTCGTGACGATCGCTTCGCCTTCTTCGCTAACCGAAAGAATTCTGGACAATTCCGGGACCGCTGGAGGTTCGGTTAAAATTCCACGATAATCCTTCTATGGAAACATCGAAGCTCTCGGCCGCGTGGAACGCTGCTAGTCACTCCGGGGATAAATTCCCTATTTTCGCAAACCGACACATACCAAACTTAGGAACATTCCGACGCTCGCTATCATTTACACGAGCGCACTCGTGACTTTCCACGCGTCGTTGCGCAAAACACGATGGGGCTTGATTTAATCTCGTGAATACGAGCGATTATTAAAAAAGACACCGTTACTTTACCGACTCGAATGTCGTTGTTTCGCGGCGTGAACGTTCGCGATCGGGAGTAGAACGGAATCGATGCTCGTTGTTCGTTCAGTTCCGTCGATCATGGTTCACTTACAGAGCTAATTAAACAGGTGTTTTTTTTTCCAAGTGCCTACTAAAATGCCATCCGGTTACGCTACTGGTTGTTCCACTCACCGTCTCGCTCCTTCTCGATGATGTTCCCTCCCTCTGTCTCGCTCCCGGTCTCTCGGTCCGTCGTCCCTCCCGCGCTTATCTTGCCGCGGCTAAAAATAGACCCTGTCACGGCCATCGGCGACATTTTAAAAAGTTAAAGCCGCACAGGCGGCCGAGCGACGAGCTTCGAAACGAGCGAACGAACGAGCGAATTAGCGCCTCCTCGAAGATATCTCGACTGGTCAGTGGCGCCTTCTCGCGAGCTCGTTTTCCCGTCTGCTGCCACCTGTTTCGCCGGCGTTATTTACCAGATCAACTCTGTCGGTAACGTCCCTGTCGTCTCGTTAAACCGAATCCATCGAATTATTTCTTTTTACGTTACTCGGGGTAGTTTCGATTACCAAAGCTACTCCAAAGATAAAACGGTTCCCAAAAGTTTTTCATTTAAACCCAAATGGTATGGTAACAGCATAGGTCTTACTGTTACAGCATAGTCTAATTTCTAAGCATTGATGCTGTAACAGTAATGAATCGAAACGAATCGTACACAATTCAGTAATGTAACATAAATCATAAAATATTGTGTATACATCAATTATTAATAAAACGAAGGAAACTTTTAGGACAACCTAATATTTACTCGACACGTAACGAAATAGAAACAGCCTCGATTGTTCTAATCTCACGATTGCCACAGATTTTTAAATATAAACAGTGTTACAAATGACAGTTATCAGTTACGTTTGACGTAAAACGGTCGATAATGATTCACACCAGTTGCTTTCTGTTGTTGATGCTATATTTATCAATGTATTATCGATACGCGGAATAATTTCCAATAGAAGATAAAATTAAACATTACGATATGTTGACACGCGTTTATCAATCGAAATACGCTTCGTAACGTATACGCGTTTCTATGTTTACCTTCGTTTTGTACTTCTTATCGGGAACAGGTACATGTTTCAACAGCGTGTTTACATAGCGTGTTATGTAGCGCATTTACATTTTCATTGCGAAAATTTATTTTTAACATTTAAGCATGCCGACATTTTTTTTCTACTATCGATAATGTAGGATACCAGACTTAACCCAAGTCGAGTTCTAGAGTTAATTATCTTCGAGGAACATGATTGCTTACCAACGTGCGAAGTGGAAGGGATGGTTGCCTAATAACGAAGAAAGCGGGGGCGAGACTTTTGCTCACTTTCAAAGACCTTGATAAAACACAAAAGAAAGAAAAACGATCTAGAAGTGTTGCTACATTTTTATCGTTGCTCGTTTTCATTCAAGCCTTATCACGCGAAAAGTTTGCTCATTCGTTGAAATCGCACGCGGCTATGAATTGAAACTCAATTCTTCGCGGTCTCTGGTTTTGAACAGTTCTATGAAAAAAAAGTGAACAAAAATGAAAAGGAAGCTCAATGATTACCTTTCGTCTGTACGTGTCCTCTACAAGGTAAGTACACAAATTAACTCGAGAAATGAATTTGTATAATCTATATCGTAGAACTCATCTAAAGGTCGATTCAGACTATACGATACGTTTCGGCAACGACACGTACCGGCACCGACACGACAAAACATTAAAACACGCGTTTCGATGAAACTATTCGCACTTAATAGACACCGATCTGAACGTTCCGTCAACGGGAATAGTGTGAATAGTTCCATTAAAACGCGTGTTTGAATGTTTTGTCGTGTCGGTGCCGGTACGTGTCGTTGCTGGAACGCGACGGTCCGTGTCGTATAGTCTGAATCCACCTTAATTCTAAATCAAAGTAAACAAAGTTGTTTCTTATCAATTGCGCATATCGATACATACACGTGGATACTTGCATTGTTTTACTTTCGTTCTTTTGTCTGTTTTGAACCTACATCAAAGGACCTTTTTAAAAATAACAACATCGCGTTTAATCAACGTCCGTTGCAAAATCGTCGGTCGATGGAGCCGATTGACAGCGGCGAGCCTCGATTCGCGCATCGTGCATGCGACATCGCGTTTCGCGCGCGTAATTTGCAACATTCGTTGAGCAAGTCTACCGTTAACGAAGACACTTGCAAAACAATGTCGGATTTTAGCTAAATTCAAGCGCCTATTTCTCTCGCCGTGTATTGTCGCGATTGCGAAACGGAGATACGGACGTTTCGGTGTACGCGGCTTAAATAATTCAAATGCTGCGTCCCGTAATGGGCTGGCCGAAGGATCCTGCCTACGTGCAAGACACCACACATGATCGCGGTCCCATGTGTTGCGGGTACACCTTCAAAAGTGAGGCAAGGTCTCAGAGACCACGTGCATCCTCGTGGGAACAGTGCCAGCAGCCAGCACGGGTCTACGAAACACGAATAAAGCAAGTTTATGAACGGAAATTGAAATCTTATCCCGTAATTGTAAATTAATCGCGCCGTTGTTCGATGTCGGGATGGCTTGGAAGTCTCGAGTTTCAACATTTTTGCAACTGTTCGTTGTCGAGCGATCATCTTCGGTTCACGCGTTGCCAAGCAACCGTTCGCTTCGATTCGCGCGTTGCTAAGTGACCGTACGTTGCTTAGCGACCAGCCTCTCCGCTTCACTTGTAAATAAACCGTGATATCTTTCCGTGGAAATGGCAACGAGCGATCATATTCGTCTCTGGCCTATTAATAGTCGATCGTCTAAGCAGACCTAATGGTTATAATTTCCTGCCAACGATTCCAACTTTTCCACGTGTTTCGTAAGAAAAAAAATAGGAAGCAAAACAAGAAATAATTGCTTTAAAATTGTCCTGTTACGTGGCAGCGATGATCACTCCGTGATTTGTTACTGATTGTGACCGATGCGAAGCGTGTCTTCGCTTTATTTTATCCGTACCTTTATCACTTTTATTTTAGATATTTTTGAGCCAGTCCTCCCCTTGTGCTTCCGCTGGTACAGAAATAAACTCGAAAAAAAAAAACGAGCCGCGAAGAAAATCTCGCTCTCAGTGGATCGCGTGACAAGTGGTGATGCCGGATCATTTTTTGTGCTCGGAATGTGTGCTCGGTGAATGATCAAAGTGGCTGTACAGTTTTTACGAGCCCTTTGGAGTTTTTACTTCCAAAAACATTCCTATTAAACCGATGACTATGTGTCGCAACTACCGCGCGACTCGTCAGCAAAACGTGTACCGTCGTTCCTGTTATTCACAA